AGGAAAACAAGAATCTGGACAGATCGAAGTCAAGATCGTCGACTAGTGTGAAATACTTCACACGAGTTAAGCAATTATTTCATGACCTTTCTTCGGAAGAACTTGAAGATACTTACCATTTTCGAAAATTATTTCAACTTTTCTGATGGAGACAACGTGTAAGTATTCAATAATTCTGCAAGGCCTGTAGTCTTATAATCACAACAGCTTTTTAACTGAGCGGCTAGTATTGCTTCATATATGCGGTGAGCGTGGTTCTTTTGAACACTGCATGATTGATCGAAAGCTTCGCTTCATTATATAATTATTAGATGAAAACAACAGTTATGGGACTAATCTAATTCAGTTTCATCTACATATGAAAAAAATTACTCACCATTTAGAGAAGAATGAGACAAGATTCCCGAGTACTTATCCAGTTCGAGTCCGTTCGTAGATGCGCTAATCTAGAATTCTACGTGTTAAGTTTAAATAAATTCTTCGTGCTACAATACAAGTTGACATATCAAGTGTAAACTGAAGAGTTCGGAAAAGACTTCAACGATTTAGTGTTTCTACACAAAATACAGACATCTAGTTATGTTCAACTGTTTGTTGAAAAGGACCTTAGTGCAGCATTCTCCAAAACCATGTTTGTTTAAATAATAAAATTTTTATACGCAATGAAGCAAGAACATATCCAGGTGAGCAGCTAGTCGCTCGTCGGCGACCCTCTGGGACGCCAATCACGAATAGCCGTTGCCAAATTAATAATCAACTTCACCGCAAGATGCCTATAGCCGATGCGTAATAAAATCCAATATAAGAATACGATATATATACATACCACTATTAACATCATCGAATGATACCCTTAAAAAGTTTGCCGACAAAGAATTCCTATCACAAAAATACGATGATCTAAGCAGCTCCTAGTGCATTATAAACTAGTTTGAACTATGAAAGATTACTAAGCATTTAATATTCGATCCAACGACAGCCGCTACCTTATTTGAATCAACTTGATTTATTTGTTTAGGATCATAACCACTAATGACGTCATTATGGTACTCCTAAACGCTGTCGAAATACCAGTCACTTAGTTTTACTTTTTCAAAAAGCTCATGTGTTCATTCTGTATAATAGACCTCTGTGCAACCCTCTTTGTTTATCAAAACGAGGACAAAATGTTTTCGAAAAACTACACTTAAAATCGAATGACTCCGCGTCAAAAACTTTCGGTCAAACTTTAAACAAAGTCATTTTTTCCTAAAAAACTCTCTTTCTCTCCCTAAAAAAAGGTAGAAAGCGAAACTTCAAAAATCTGATCTCCGATTCGACTCCCTCGAGCCCGACAGCATCGGATCAAACTTTATAAGGAAAACTATTTTCTCGGAAAAATTGTTTTTCACTAAAAAAGTTGAGGATCATAAACTCTAAAAATCTCACGCTAGATTACAGTTCCCCGGCCCCAGTTACCTTCGGTCAAACCTATCCCTGCAAGATATTGTTTGATGTTAGTTAAGTTTATGCATCTGCGTTTCTATTGGACGAGCGAACGCATTTAACTCGTCTTTCGTAATACCCTCCTTTCAGTAGAGGGAATGCATTGTAGAAGAAATTTGACGTAGTTATAAATTGGGTTCTTATGAAATGTTATCAAATGAAACAGAAAGTGTGTTTGGAATTTTCGTTCACAGTAGGTGTGCAACGGTGACGGTATTCGTCACCGGTTTCACCATCACCGGTCCCACCAGTTGTTACGAATCACCGTCACTGGCTATCTTTTCCGGCTTTTATTGAAAGATAATGATTTACAACCATTTATCGCGGTCTCTAATTTTGTGGTAGATGATGGTACGAGTACCTCTCAACATTGTATAGAATAATGAAGCTATCTTGTAGTTTTAGATTTCACCGAGTATATCTTGAAATTATCAGTAAGAACCTAAATAATCGTCCTCTATCCTCTACTTTCAAAGTATTCATTTCATATTCATTTTCTGTAAAAATTTCAAGTCAATATCAAGTAGTTCTGTTCATCAATCAAAATATACACATTCAATGTTTCAATCTTTATTTGGGTTTTACTACTAAAATGTTTAGTTTTATCATTCAATTAACCTTGCTAGTTTGGATACGCAGAAAGAAGGATTGAATAATGGAGCTTTAACTTCATTCGTTTTCCAAATCCAAACTATTAGATTCTATGAATCGACAAGTATTCGAGTGAGTTCGTAAAATTCATTTAAAATTGTCTTATTTATTAGAAGAGTGACAGCTTAAAGACCCATAGTTAAAACATTCTCTCGGGAAAATTGAGCTGTAATTACGTTTTTTTATTTGAAAGACGCTTAATTCGAAAACTCATCTTCCATTAAGTAATATTTGCATTAGTCGATGGCGTATACTATATAAAAGTAAAGGTAACATAAATTATATTGTCTTTCAAGATATTTCTTTATTTTGAAGGTAATAAACATAAACTGAATTCATTGAAAAGGATTTCTGTGATCGAAAATATAGACACATTGACTATTACGCAAAAATATCATTGATTCTACATCTATAGGTATTCTATTTGTTCACATAATGTGTCATCGGAATTTTTTGTCAGAGCCCATCTATGATCATAATCAAATAGGGTGAGAGCTCAATGAAGATCGGTGGAGACCGATGGCGGTGCACCGTAACAACCGGTGGGAACGGTGGCCGTGCACCGTAACAACCGGTGGGAACGGTGGCCGTGCACCGTAACAACCGGTGGGAACGGTGGCGGTGAAACGGGACCGGTGGACCGGTGTGCCTTCGTCACCGTTGCACCCCTAGTTCACAGTACTTCAAGTTAATTGAATATTCACAGCTGCATTGAATCTAAATTTTCAAAAGGTATAAAAGTAATTGCGGATGAACGATGTTATATAATAGTATTGATATTTCATCCAGTATTGTGCTACATGGAATTTTTGACAGAACAGCTTTTATTACGTTCAAGATGCTTAATGATACAGCTGTCTTATTTCACCATCGTAATGAAGCAAGTCGAAAAAGGAGAAGAATTGTGCCATCAACGGACTTCTGTAATAAACATTGAAGAGAGCGTCAAGGTCTTTTTCTACCTCTAGCAATTGTTTTGTTGTCGACAATTGTAACGAATAATAAAGAGATCGAAACCAAAGAAAACTCAAATGCATAAATATAAGTAATACTTAGTTTTTTGTAAATTAAGTATCTTATCAACACTTCTATGATTATCTCTGTATAGACGTTGATCACAACAGCCAATCTTCCAAGTAATCTTATCTGGTCTGCCTACTATTATAAGAACAGTGGAACTATAAGGATAGACAAATAATTTGTCCAAGTATTCTGTTATCTTTTCTAGTAAATATTCATCAGGATAACTTCAAAGTCAATTAACACGTCAAAATTACAATAACAATATAAGGATGCAAATTTAGTCTATTTAAAATAACATTGACAAGTATTATCCTAAATTCAAAAATTCTACAATAATGAAATCATGAAAAAACTACACTTCTTTTTCACTAAAACTTTTTAACTATATGTCTTGAAAGATGAACGATCAGTATGCCCATAATAAAATATGTAATTCGATGATTTCCCATCATAAAAGTAGACAATAGAACTTAATACAATTTATACATTAAAAAAGAAACTGGGGAAAATCCTTTCTGAAGCATATTTCTTGAATAGATAACATCATTTTACTTGCACTCATTCACTAATCTGTTGAAAAAAATATAAAATCATGATTTAAACACTGATAGTTATTGTGTGAATATTATTCTTTATGGAATCTGTTTGTGGTTTTAGTTAGAAGTGATCCATAGTTCTTGTATAGAAGACATTATGAAATATGTTGCCTACAGGTTACCCAATGAAAACGATTTTAATCGTTTCTGTTCTTTAATCAATACAGAATATTCCGATACCTAATCGATTTCTAGTTTTAAAATATCTTATGAGCTCATGTAGTTTTATTAAAAGCATAAACAAAACAATTCTGCTCGTTCAGACGAAAGATATCTAAAGGAAATAAACACGTCTAGCTCGTATTCGTGTATACTTTGTAAGATGATAAAAAACAGACCAAAAAAATTAATTACAGTACAACTGATGCATTATTTGAAGCTGCCTCATAACCATATGGATCAACAAAAACTAAATATTGACTACATAACTTTCTTCTACAATTGTTCTGACATTAAAAATAATGTCATCAGCATTTGAATATCCCATATTGGCATGGAATTTGTTTTCCATCAATGAAGGTCATTACTAGTCAATAACGACAATAGTATCTCGACGATACATATTGTTGTTATGATCACTCATTAGCAAAATTAGTTGCTGCTAAAAAGAAAAGCTATCGACAATGGTCTTATTCGTAGTTTTTGAAAAAGAAAATCTTAATAAGTAAATGATTTAAAGTGAAAATAGCTTTCGAGTTACTCGAATACCATAATTTTCTACTAGAAAATTTAATTTACTGAAATGTTGTACTTCAAACTTTGATTCTTCAAGTGAGTTTTTTTTGCTGTCTTCGTTTTATTCGTATAAAATATCAACTGACTACTTTTTTTTCTTTTTGTCTAAATTTTCTATTGCAAAAATAATAATATTTACTATCGCTTTCGTTGAAATAAATATAATCTTTTTTTTTTGTTACAAATACAACAAAATATATTTAGAAAACATATGTCATGTTTATACGATAGGGCTTTCTATGGTTTAACACTTTTTCTTTTATACATTGCATACTTAATGAGAGCTGCCGACAAAAGCCGACAACGTCTACAATAGATATTCTACGTGATTATATAAACATCTGTTGATGTATTAGTAAATATGATCTTTTGAAAACAATCAGGATATTATTATGTCGAAGATCCAGATGTAAGACAGTTATTTAAAAGGTTCTCTATAAGCATCGTTTTCTTTTAAGATGAATTATAATAGTTTAAAAAAAATAAACGACAACAACAACAAAAAACACATTATAACCAAACATAAAGAAAACGATAATTACTCTTATAACGAATAATATTTTTAAGGTGAATCAAATTTGCATTATCCCAATCTTGATCAAGTGCAAAAAGTTCTAGAAACATTAAATATTTTAAATAATTATCATTATCATTTTGTCCAATAATTGTTAATAAAATTTTCTCAAATGAATGTATTTTATTATCAACAGCAAAGCTCATTGAATGTAAACTAGGAAAAATAGGTATTAGAATATTTTTTAAACAATCAATTGATAAACTTTCTGTCAAAGTTAATTGTAACTTTTTAATTCGTTTCATATTTTGACGCATGACTTCATTAGTTTGAAATGTTATCAGATGATTTAATGGCAATGTTAAAGAATTTAAATTTGTCATTTTAGTTAATAATTGTACAACAAAACCATCTGTTAAACATGTACCGTGTAATTCGAAATGTTTTAAATAAACAAATGATATCGATTGATTCAATAATAAACGTGATTGATGTTCAATCGGTGTTATATTTTCATAGAGACCTAAATAAAATGAATGAACGAGTGGACAACGTATGGTATGTTGTTGTTGATGAATTATTGTTTGATTTAATACTAAATCAAAATGATGTATACGTAAATATGCATCGGACATAGTTTTTAACGATGATTTCTTAATAGAATTATTCGAATGTGGTTTCATATATGGTATGGTGCATAGAATATGTTTATAGGATGTTATTTCATAAATAATTCGAATATTATTTTTAAGAAAAAAATCTAGATCTTGAAATTTTTTTGTTATGAAAATAAGATGACGTTGAGGATCAATATTTAATGATATATGTAAATCGAAAATTTTCAATTGATTTAATTTATTTGTAAATAAATTATTCCAACGTTCGTTATCAATGTGTTCATTGTCATAAGACGATTCCGTACCGGTCGTATATGTATAAATAAAGGATACTAAATTTGGACATAAATCCAGAAGATATTCAATATACATAAATGGTATTGAGCATACATTTAATTTTAAATAATTTAATAATAATAAAGGTCTTTGAAAAGTTTGATTTAAATTAAATATTATTGAAGAATTATCTGAGACTTGACATGTTAAATGTTTTAAATAGATCATGGAATGTAATAAAATAAAAAGACTGCTTATATCAGGTATTTTGAAATTGAATTCTTCAATAAAATAATTTTTTTCTGAAATATTCGATGATAGAATATCAATTTGACAATTCGATAATCGACAAATACGTACAGATTCCGAAATAAATTCTATTGGTATAACTAAATAATCTGTTGTTTTAATTACCAATATTCTTAAAAGTGGAAAATAAGAAATTAATCTTGTTAATTGTTCGATTGTTGGTTCAGTTAATACTAATGTTTCCACTTGTTCGTGTTCACTATATTTTGTTTGTTCAAGATAATAGTCAATTCCATCTATGGTTTGTTTATTTGATAATTTTATTGAGCAAATTTGTTGATGAAAGTTTGGTAATATATAATGACATGTATATAGAAACAATTTCTTTTGTATATATGATAGATCAAGGTGTAGACAAATGCCATGAATAATAGAATTTAAACGTTTATTTAAATTATAAAATGAATAGATTAAATCACAACTTGATATATAATCAAAGATTTCTAAGAAAATCTCATCTGGCATTGATTCAAGATTTTTATGGTTCATCGTCGAAGCGAAAGATAAGCAAAGAAAATAATGATCTATCTATATGTGTGTGTAACTATGCATCATTTAAATGTGAAGAATGGTTGAGTGAACGATAATGAAGACGAGAATAGAAGAAGAAAGAAACTGGTGCGTATTTTTTATACTCCTCCTATTCTAACGGTAATATCATATCGGACTATTACACAAGGTGATGCTATACGACAAAGTATTACTCTAATTATGTAATCCTCACCCTACAGTTTGCTATATTCTTTCTTTCTTCCTTTTGTCTTATACGATAGCTTGAACAAGCAAAACCTTTCTTTCTGCGGCTATTGCTTCATAATTAGCTGTCTGCATATGTATAAACAAATGTCCTTGTCAATATCAAATACACATATCAAGAATGGAAAAAATGAGATATACATCCCACAGAATGCCGAATAAGGCAAAAGCAAAAACGACATGATATGTTGTGGATGATAAAGTGTGTAATTGCCCCTGACACGTATGTTCCGAGTAACACATCCTTGCCGATCATGACAAACTACAGGGAATAGAATGACGAGATTTCAGAATCATTAATTATGTTTTTAGTCAAAGAAGAAAAACTTCAATTTTGTAATCGAGTTCGAATTGACCAAACAAAATAGAGACACGATAAACAGCAATAGATATAAGTAAATAATATGAAATTAGAAATGATAAAAGAATGAAAAGATGAATACATATGACTTCATAACGCCTTGTTCATACATATCAATATTGACATAATTCGTCTCAAACAAAAATAAAATAGAATACCAAAAGATTAATATGACACTTGTGAATTGAGGATTATACTAACATAATTAAAATGATTATGTTGCTTGATTAAACAAAGAAAAAAAACAACAACAACAACAACTATTCCATTATATACTATTTATGATTATAGGTGTTTAGTAGGTTTGCCTATAAAAAGATTATTATTTCAAAAATTTATTAGAACTCACAATTTCTTGATGTTGAGAAATTGGCAGTCTTAAATATTTTTTTCTTTTAAAAGTATGTATGGGAAAATTCGAAGCATGAGATCCCTCCAGTCTGTTTCTTCTTTATGACCATATCACTGGATTCATTAAATTGCATTTATTTATAGTTATGATTTGATATTTCTTGTCAGCACGATAATGGCAATTGATAGAATATTTTTGATCGAATTCTTATGCTCTATTTTGTTTCCTTTTTTGGGATTAATCCATACAAATCCTTTCCTTCCTAATTATTGCATATAGCTACACAAAGAATTCCGTCGAATGCAAACACCATACATAGAAAGGTTCGTTTTTCACACGCACACCCATATTTCGCCTTATTAGCAGACAGGTTATTTGGTAACGAAGAAAATAACAACAAATACGTCTTGACTCATCTTCTGTTAATAATCACCTGTATCAGCTAGACATATATCATTCGAAAGCGGGCTATTTTCTGTTTACAAAAATATTGTTTAACCATATATCCGTTCGCCCTTCGCATAATTCACACTCAATATTAAGTGACAATTATTCGATACGTATGTGTCGAAGACAGAGAGAGCGATAGAAAGTCAAATGATTCGACTTAACGAGATCAAACCTTAGTTTGTCATTGAATTAAACGCTACTATAAATTCTAGCTCAAATAATTTTTTATCGTATAAAAAATTGTGACTAGAATTTTTTTTTTATAATAGATCAAAATTCTCTTTAAAGATTCAATTGAATTATGTTGAAAGTGATTTTGTTTTTCAAACTCGAAATTTTGCATATTCTTTAAAGTTTATTGTATTTCAAGGAACAGCATTTTTTTATGATGATTTTAAGCAAACATGAATTTAACCTTTGATAAAATGTTCTTCATGCAATTAAATATAGAATGAATCAAACTCAAATGTTTAATGCTGTGAAATCAACCAATGACAATGTCGAATACTAGTATTAATTCTACAAAAATCAATACGAAAATAACAAAGCCATCACGTAATCCATTCAACATAATAAAATTTTATTTGCCATTCAATCTTCGTTTTTCATGTTTCAATTTGATCGAACTCAGTGACATAAGATTTGCTTACTGAACACAAAAAAGAGGGGCCGATTGATTCAATTTAAATTAGCATTTTGTTTTGTCAATAGGTAACTAAATCTGACAAAAAAAGTGGAGCGACAGCGGTAGTTTCCTTGATTCGTTCATTCCACTTTGTTCTTCTAGTCGTAAAAGGAATTCGATCTGTGTCATATGTTGATCGAAACTAATTGTTGTCCATGATATTTTGAATAAAATACTAACAAAAATCGATTAATTGAAATGAAAGAAGAAAAATTCATATTTTTTAAAGGTTTCAGTTACTTCAACCGATAGAAAATATTTGTTCGTGAATATTATGTATGTGTATCGGTAAAAGAAAGAGAAAGGAAGGAGAGCTCAAGGTTTTAGTCTAAAGCCGCACGCAAGTACACACGAACGATGGTGAAGGATTACGACCATCATCACCATACTGTATTAGCATTCAGATTTAGTGGTCGATAGTGAAGCTCACACACGTATATATAGATATAGATATAGATATTTTTCCTACTCAATAATAACAACAATTTGATCGAATTGCATACGCATTTGGTAAGTTATTTGAAATTTTATTTTTTGTATTATCAGTCAAGAGGAAATTTTCTTCTGAAAATCAATTTGCATTAACTATATAGATCGACAGACGGAAACTTAAAATGTCTATGCAATACTCATTTGCATAATAATCATTATTAAATGAAAAAGAGTTCCTTTTTTTTTGTTTCTTCGTTGTGTTCTCATCTTTTCGAAAGACTATTTTGAAAAAAATAGACGAATGAATCGTTTCTTTTGTTTCTTCTTGTTGAATATCGAGTGTCATCCAATCTCAATATTCATGATAGATGAAAAACAACATAGGTGTAGATGTGCACGTCTGGTCATAGAACGAACAAGCGACCGAAACAATTCAACATTTGCCCAATGCTTAGCAGGGCAAGGGATTAGTGCACGTAATGAAAAAAAAAGAGACGAACGAGAATAATGCGTTTTTGTTATTCTCGTCTCTGATATACTTTGCCCCCCCCCCTCTTCCTACTCCTCTTATTCTTCTTCTTCTTCTTCTTTTCCATTATGACACCCATACTAAATCAATAGGAATGTGTAAACCAATGAGAGAAAAGTTAAAACGGAAACAATTCCGTTTTATCGATGAAGGGAAAATTAAATAAATCAACAGAAAATATTCACTGTGACATATTTTTTATTATTGAGAAAACGGAAATGAACATTTCTCTCTTTTCACATTAGTATAAGTATATTCAAAATCGATTTTTCATTTTTTGTTTCATTTTTTTTCTTTGTATGCACCAAATAAACGCATGTGCAAGAGAGAAACATTGGTCAAAAAAAGGCACAACAAAAAAACGTGAGAGAGAGAGAGAGAGAGAGAGAGAGGAAAAACACTAACATACATAAAAAGCAAAAAAAGCTCGTCTTTTCCTTTTTTTTCTTATTTTTATTGTGTATCACAAAATGTTTTCGTTCAATTCGTTTCAGAATAAAATCCATTCTGTGTCGTTGCTGAACTTTCATAGAGTTGAAAACTAGAACTATTTTGTTTTGCTTTATTTTTAAGAACTTGTGTTAATGGATGAGATGCTAATGGTTCAATAAGATTTGTATTATGTGTATATATATTCGGATTGGCATCCGATAATGAATAATATGACGACGATGATATAGTAGTATTTGGTGGTGCTGGCGACGATGCATCGTTATAATTGTTTGTCATAGTTAATGGCTGAGTCAATGAATTCATTGGCGGAAGTGTCCATGGATTCGCTGATGTTGGATAAGAACTTGACGGATTTGGATTTGGTGATGATTGAGATGAAGATTTTGGACTGGAAGGAGATTTAGTTGTATCCCAATTTGGATTTGTTGAATATGCCGACATGAATGGTGGTGGTGGTTGATGATGATGAGTATACATATCAAATGGTGGAACAATATGAGAAAAATTTCTTAGATGATCCATATTTCGTTCACGTTTACGCCATTTAGCTCGACGATTTTTAAACCCTACCGAATAAATATAAAAACAAAATGATTTTGATGTTCAATGGAAATAAATCATATAATTATACATATTTCTCTATTTTATTGTACTTACAGACACGAACTTTAGCTTCAGTTAAATTAGTCATTGCTGCAATATCTTCACGTGTTGCTAAATCAGGATAACGATTTATAGTAAATGTTTGCTCTAGTTGCGTTAATTGTTGACTAGAAAAATGTGTACGTTGACGTCGTTGTCGACCATTGGCATTATTTCCATTTGAATTATTACATTTGGATTTTTTATTTGAAGATTTTTTCTCATCATCATTACATCCTATATCTTCATCAGCACTTTGTTCACTTAAATTATTTGATATATCATTAGTTGACTCATATTTAATAATAGTAGATTTTTGTTGTTGTTCAAGATTAGTCAAAATTGTTGGTGATGCATAAGTTTCATATGTTGGTAGATGTGTTAAGAGTGCTGCTGATGATGTTGGTTGATATTGAGAATGATAGAGATCAACTGATGAATGATGTGAAAGATAAGTTGAATTTGTTGTTGGAGATGGATAAAGTTGATGATGATCAGTTGTCAATTGTTGTTGTTGCTGCTGCTGCTGCTGCTGTTGTTGTTGTTGTTGAGTATCAAACTGTTCGGGTGTAAAATAAGAGGCTGTTGGTGTTTGATACATTCGATTGGGATTATGAAAATAATGATGATGATGATATTGTAAATGTGATGCATTAAAATAGTCAGCATAATCGGCATGTATAGGAGCATTTAAAAGAGTAGCAAGTGTTTCATTTGGATTTTCCATTTTTGTGTATCACCGGCGCTACAAAAATAAAAGAATCATAGATATATGTATATCATAATCCAGGATTAATTTTTGATG